AAAATAAATTTTTGAATATTTCTCTTTATAAGAATTTGAGATATTATTTTTTTATTTTATTATACACACCGACGTATATCTGAAAAGTTGATATTGAATATATTCCACTGTATATACTATCATACAAAGTGTTCCCCATTTCGAGATATTGCCGATTTTAGATAGGTTCAATATCGAATATTATCTCATAAACTTTCCAGTATGTGAGGTTAATCGATATACATTGTAGCATTCAATGTGAAATCAGTCTTATTTCGTAGACTTCTGGAAATATCCATTTCTAACTCAATATCTACATAATTATATTGTATATGTATATAAGCTTTCGATATAATTTCAGGCATCCTCCTCGATACAAAATGTCAACATATCTTTTCAATATATTCACAACACTAAAAATCATTGTTGTATAAACGGTTAAATGAGACATTGATCAATTTGATCAAATAATATGCCAGCTTAGTGATGTTCAATATGAAACAAATATTATATGTATGTATATGTATTAAGGAGTTTGAATCTCAATTGCCAATACCATATTCTCACTCGATATCTATATGAATATAAACCATCGATATAAATCTTGAGGATTATTCTGGTTGAATTTCAATATCAATTTCCAAACAAATTCGCAATATTGAGCATCAATATCATTTCATTATTCAAATGCGAGAGTGATCCATATGATCTATCAATATTCCCAGCATAGTGATGTTCAACATGGAATGAATATCTTCTTAAGATATAGGTATACTGAGAAGATTGAATTTCGATGGTGATTCAATATCATAATCTCTGTGTATAGCTGAATGGTATGTGTATGATTGATCGATATTATTCTGTATACAGGGTGGCCCACGGTCGATGGTACCTTAGACGTATATGGAAAACGGTACATCGGATTATCTTGAAAATTTGGTTACTTCAATAAGCGTTTGTGATCTAACGATTCAAATTATTTTCAGCGAAGCAGCGTTGCCACTTTTACCAAAAAGTAGCATCATCTTTGTTATTTCAAATAGAACACCCTGTATTTTATTGCGTTTTTAGAATCTTCTCGAAAAGCTGATTTCATCAATGTATCACACTTGGAGTCTAGCGGGAATTATTACAGAGATATAGGGTGTTCAAAATCGATATTTTTCAACTTTAGGATTTTTTTGTGTCGAAACTATTCATCATTGGTCAAAACGGCTTACATGTCCCTATATCAACTTTCGATCAACTATCTACCGATATTTAATTGGAAAAAATGCAGGATGGTCCAAGATTCAGAATTTTGATCACCCTGTATCTGTTCCAATTAAATGTCAGTAGATAGTGAATCAAAAGTTGAGATAGGAACATGTAAGCCGTTTTGATCGATAATGAATAGTTTCGACACAAAAAATTCCTGAAATTGAAAAATCTCGATTTTGAACAGTGTGATACATTGATGAAATCAGCTCTTCGGGAAGAATTTAAAAACGCAATGAAATACAGGGTGTTCCATTTGAAATAACAAAGATGATGCTACTCTTTGGTAAAGGTGGCAACGCTGCATCTCTGAAAATATTTCGAATCGTTAGATCACAAACGCTTATTATAGTAACCGCATTTTCAGGATAATCCAATGTATCGTTTTCCGTATACGTCTAAGGTACCATCGACCGTGGGCCACCCTGTATGTGCCGATAATTATCTCTAGTCTATTGCTGATATTAAAAGTCAACGTTGTGACAACATTCCAGTTGAAGATTAATGAATATGTGTCATCAATGACTATGCATAGTGATGTTTAATATGAAATAAATACAGGGTGTTCATTTCAGGACTTCCCACCCTAATTTTCTCGAAATGTGTGTATGTTTTTGAAAAATCCCGAGACACGTCAACTACATTTTCGAGGGTACATGGTTCTAAAATATTTTCAGCCCCGCGGCGTTGCCGTTTTCTAACGAAAAGAAGCAACAACTTTGTTATTTCAAATGGAACACCCTGTATTTTATTGCATTTCTAGATTCTCCCTGAAAAGCTGATTTCATCAATGCATCACACTTGGGGTCTAGCAGGAATGATTACAGAGATATAGGGTGTTCAAAATCGAGATTTTACAACTTTAGGATTTTTTTGAGTCGAAACTATTCATTATTGGTCAAAACGGCTTTCATGTCCCTATCTCAACTTTCGATTTACTATCTACTGACATTTATTTGAAACAAATACAGGGTGGTTCAAGATTCAGACTTTTGATCACCCTGTATTTGTTTCAAATAAATGTCAGTAGATAGTAAATCAGAAGTTGAGATAGGGACATGAAAGCCGTTTTGACCAATAATGAATAGTTTCGACTCAAAAAAATCCTAAAGTTGTAAAATCTCGATTTTGAACACCCTATATCTCTGTAATCATTCCTGCTAGACCCCAAGTGTGATGCATTGATGGAATCAGCTTTTTAGGGAGAATCTAAAAATGCAATAAAATACAGGGTGTTCCATTTGAAATAACAAAGTTGTTGCTTCTTTTCGTTAGAAGCGGCAACGCCGCGGGGCTGAAAATATTTTAGAACCATGTCCCCCTCGAAAATGTAGTTGACGTGTCTCGGGATTTTTCAAAAACATACACACATTTCGAGAAAATTAGGGTGGGAAGTCCTGAAATGAACACCCTGTATATCTCGTGAAACTATTAGGAAGATATACTTCGTGCGCTCCAAGCGATAAAAAACTCCATACTGTCACCCAATTTCAACTCAAATTGTCTTTTGATATTAAACGAATATTAGCAATGGATATGATTTCAGACTCCATTTCGAATATGTTGCAATATTCATTCTAGATATATCCCTAACATTCAGATTCGAAAATGAATCAACATATGAATGAGCGATTGGTCGATATAATTCTTCAATATCTGATCATCGTGATGGTCAATATGGAATAGATTTTTTGTATTGTGCAGATAGATCTTTTTATCCTCATTCAATATCTAAATACTTATATTGTATGGATATGAACATTCGATATAATTTCTGACGATATTGTGTATATAAATGTGAATTTCCCTTCAACGTTTTACCAATACTAGAAATAAATATTGTATCAACTTTGAAGTGTGAAAATAATCAATATAATGTAATAATGCCCTATCAATATTATTCATCGATATTCTTGTGAAGTGCTGTTCAATATGTTGCAGATATTGTTTGTAGATGTTTCTGGAAAATTCGTTTTCAAATGCTACTAGATATTTTCTGATAATATTTACATATATGTATATATATTGTGAAAATATATGCCATCGATATGGTTTCTGGCATCATTTTGAATATGTGTCAATATTTGTTTTCAATGTATCCGTTACATTCAGAATCGAAGGTGTATCAACTTATAAATGAGAGATTGATCGTGATGATTCATTAATATCGTATCATCGTGAATGTTCAATATAAAATAACAATTTTTTTAAGATATATTGTGGAGATTGTTCCTGGATAACCACTCTATATCCTCATTCAATATCTGGATGATGATATTGTGTGAATATCTAGCTTAGATATAATTTTGGGCATTATTTTGAATATATAGGTATATTTCACTTCGACATTTTTCGCGCATTGAAAATGAATGTTGTATCAACTTCAAAGTGTGAGAATGATCAATATGATTTATCAATATCCTGAAAAGGCGCTGTTCAATATGTTATAGATATTGTTTGTAGATATTTCTGTAGACTTCTTTCTCAATAGCTACTAGATATTATTCGCCAATATCCACATACATATATGTAATGATATTGGCCATCGATATAATTTCCGACATTATTTTAAATATGTGTCAATATTTGTAATCAGTATACTACTTTCATTCATTATCTATCTCGTATCAACTTCCAGTTATGACATTATTCAATGGGATCCATCAATATCACATTATACTGATGTTCAATATGAAAGATATATGTTTTTGTAGATATATCACAATATCTATTCAACTATATTGTCTATATATAAGTTTTCGATATAGCTCTGAGCTTTATTTTTGATATTTGTCAATATTTTTTTTCAATTCACTCCCCACATTGGAATATCATTGTTCCATAAACTTTCGAATACGACATTATTCCATATATGATCATCTATCATCCCAGCATATTGATGTTGGATATAATATTTATATATTCCTTAAATATATCTTGAATATCAATTTTCAATGATCACCACATATCCTCAACCAATATCCGCATAACTATATTTTATGAATATTTAATATTGATTCTGTTCCAAGCATACTGTTCAATATGTGTATATATTTGTTTTGAATCTCCTGTTAATATTATGGATAGATATTGTATCAACGTTTGATTGATAGAAACATGAATATCATCCATCAATACCTAAGCATACCGATATTTCATAAGGAATATATATTTCTTGGCGATATGTTTGAGATATTGTTAATAAATAACCCGTCCATATTCCTACCCAATGTCTGAGTTACTATATAGTATGAATATAAGATACTGATATAATTTGAAGCATTCTTTTGAATATGTGTCGATATTTTTTTTTCAATTAGTCTCAACATCAGTCATGAATGCAATAACAAGATTATTTCTCATTATTGATCTATATTTGGTGTCAATATTTATTATATATCACTACGTGGTGATGCCAAGAATATTGCTCATCTTCAACCTACTATATTGTTGGTCAATATCGATGAGCCATCAGTTACATATATAGAGATGATGAATGATTCTCAATCAACGCACTTCATTGTTTTTTTCATATCAACAAATCAATATTGTAGGATGATTATAAATCAATATTATTTCAGATATTTTGTAGAATGATTTAACAATCTTTTTATGAAACATCGAATCAATATCGATCTACAATAGCATGTTGAATGTTTGGATCCAATATTGTGCCTACTTGATTTCTCGATATTGCGCCAATTTTTCATCTATATTGGTCCAATATCGGCCCAATATGAGTGTGCTACTTGGGATGCCAAGAGATCTTTTGTGCATCATTATGTTGGTGAGGGCATGGAGGAGGGGGAGTTCCAGGATGCCAAGGAAGACTTGCAGGCTTTGATAATGGACTACAAAGAAGTTGACAGTGGTTGATGAAAAGCAGGCTTCAAGACTGTCCCCACTGGTGGTAGATTTTTTTCATGAGGTAGTGGAGACATAGAAAATGAAACAAGAATACGAAAATGATCCATCTACCTGAATATATGAATTGAATAATACCTGATAAAGATTGAAATATTCAGGGTCCAATAAGTGTTAAACTTTCAATAACTATTTCATCACAAATAGAAACCTTTCTTCATACATAAAATAAATGTATTGTTTTGCTCATACCTTTTCAGTTTCTAAGTTCTAAGATATATATATATATATATATCGTATAAGCTGGGAGACCTCTCGATCACGGTGACCTAAAAGATCTTTTGTGATTACCCTTATCTAGTTTTGGTCGTCTAACCCTGGACTTCTGATGAAGCCTAGAATTTTCCTGACAGTTGAATTTTCCACCTCAGCAGGGGTGAGATAGACCTGTTCTAGGTGATTCAGCCTTTGGAAGACTAATACTTCACATGAGCAAAGTATGTGTTCCGTGGTTTCGGTCGCATTGTTACAAAAGCGGCAAGTATCAGTCTCCGCCAGGCCCATCTTTTTGGGGTGATACCTCAGAGGGCCGTGTCCTGTGAGAAAGCCTGTTATAAGCTTTAGCTCTGGTTTGCTGAGGCTGAGTAGCTCTTTGGCTCGGTTCTGCGAATGGTTGATGAACCTCTTCGCTTGTCGTTGACCTGGAGTTGCTCTCCAGTAGGAGGAATTCTCAATTTCTTTCTATTTTCTGAGTTCTTCCTTTAGGTGACATTTGCTCATCCCACAAAAAGGCTCAGGACCAAAAAGTGCAGATGCTGCACTTTTTTTTGCAAGGCGATCAGCTGCCTCATTTCCTTTGATACCTTCATGCCCTGGAACCCACATAAGTGTGACTTTGTTGTCCTTTCCCAGTTGCATGAGTGTTTCAAAGCAGTCCCATGTGATCTTTGATGTGAAAACAAATGATTTTAGGGCTTTTAGTGCGGCTTGGCTGTCTGAGCAGATATATATGTTGGCACCCCTCAGGATATAGCTGAATTAATCTACTAACGACGGAACGAGGAACCACCAATACTTAAATGCTCAAGATACCAAAATAGCAGAAATCATCTAATAGATCAGTGCTGATGTAGCTATGGGGAAGTTTCCTATATTGAAGTTTTCATCCCACAGTGAAGTTTATACAAAATTCATATATACGTATTTTTCTTCTTTTCGTTAGATAAAATTTCACTTCAGAAAATAATAAATGAAAGAGGAACTTGGCTCCTCCACCATTCCTATGACGTTCTTTCTGAGTACCACGTTGCCGACTTAATCGATATGTCTAGATTTCCGGAAATCGTTCTTTGAATGCATAATAACTATATCATAACAGCAATGGGATATAATAGGTTCTTCAATCCTACTTTGTCAAGTACTATGGATAATTCCCATGAATCTCTCATTGGCTGAATGAATTTGATTATAAATAAAGATAAATCATGATATTTTGCGAGAGAATTTATGATTTTTCACTATCGTTATATTACAATATGTTATTTATAACTTGTCAGTCATTTTGTAGATGATGAATTCGTTCCTTGATAAAACGAATATATTTTCTAGGAAAGTTGCAGATTATATCTTGCAACCGTCCACACCACTTGAAATACTGACAAGCACAACTAGAGGAAGGAGCCATGGCTGTCGGCTCCATAGTGTTCTGATTGATGACAGTAAATTAGAAAGGATAGTATCATTGAATGTAGCCGATTTTGATTCATTGATTCAATGATATTTTCGTTCAGGATCAAGCTCTATTCGATATATTTCAAAGCATAAATAACAAAACTATAACCTGTCAGAATGAAGCTAACTACCTTCTGCATTCCTGCTTCGAGTGCATTTGTGGTTATGTATGATTTTGTTAACCAGTTGTACTTCTTCTTCTATTCTTTCCATTCGTTGTTCATTCGTTAGCTATTCGCTAGCTATATTCTTCACCATCAGCTATTTTCAGACTAGATTCAGAATGTACAATCGTCACAGTTTGTCGCCCCGAAAATTAGAAATTGCTCCAATTTTAAAATTTCTAACTTATTTTATGAAAATTATTCTGAAGGAAACTTCCATATTATACCATGTTTGAGATACCTTGGATATCTACTGACTAGGATTGGCGTCAATGAATTGTCCACTAGCTGTGATCAGATTTATCTTGATGCATATTGTTTGAAAGATCTCAGGTGCAGTCAATAGTACTTCATTTAGCGATAATCTCACCGTTTATTAATAATTCATATTTACCACGAAGAGAGTTTGTATTTCATGCCTGTGGCCAAATTATAGGTTATCTTCTGCATTACATTCATCGCTGAGCACATAAGTCTTATCTTCGAATATATACCGAGAGTTCGAAAATGCCGTCGCTATCGGGGATTGGTTAATAAGAAGAGCAAATTAATTGCAAGTTGTGGGTGTGTTTCGCTATAATACGAGCAAATTGAACAGAACAGCTATATGATAATGAGATAAAGCAGCTCGTCTGGGTAACTATTCTCGCGATTCGCAAACCTCTGTTTGGATATTTTCCGCTGATAATTATGATAAATGAGAAGTTTGTTGTTCTGGTTATGCTTAAGCTTGCGGCTGCTCGAATATAGATATATTGCCGATTAAAAAAATCGATGTAGAATTGAATTCTGCAATGATAATCAGAACAGTATCCGGTCGCTGCATGAAATATTGTTCCTCTTAATCATGATATAATATGAACATACTAAACTCTCAGGTATTTTCTATGTACAAGAGCACATAACATACTGGTTGTCAACGAATTTATAAGACAAGCCATTGCTCCTGGAATATTCAGTTCATAAAAATAAAATTCCATATGGTTATGTGGTATGTGAAAAGTAGAGTTCTTGCATATTTAACTCTACCTGGTCACTTCCGGTTTCACCGGAAATGTCTCTGGATTAGAATTTCCAAAAGAAATACCTCGTATATATTATGAATCTTCTGAATTCCTGAGTAAATTCTGGAATATAATATGACATTTTCAGTTTTCAAGTTTTTACGCCTAGTTAATTTTTAAGGGTCACTTTCAATATTGCATCTAGGGAGCCATTATCAGACAAAAACCTATCTGAGGATCTCAGGTGATTAGCTAATTCATTTATTTATTTATTCATCTATTTATTCATTCATTCATCAAATCACGCAAAATCTATATTTTGTCATGGTATATCAATAATCTCTTGGTTTCACCTCTTTCAGTAAGGACAAAAGAACATAAGTACAATATGAAGAAAAGACACATCGACAAATCGAAACTAGCTGAACATGTCCTTACCAAAGATGGACAACATATGGCATAGTGGAATAATATTGAAATAATTGGTGAAAGAGATAAAAAGCAGCAGAGATAAATCGATGAATCTGCTTGCATTCTTCTGAACGGAGACAATAGCATAACTTCCTGTTCAGTTGATATAAATAGAACATGGTATTCACTACTGAAATCTGTGAATAAAACTGGTGATTCAAGATTAATTGATGAAAACATCCTGTAACTCATTTTATTGCCATCAACGTCACCAAATTATCACTGAGAATTGAGAAGTGTCAAGACGAATACGAATTTGCTTTACAACTTTCGATTTTTAATGATGAAAACGGGAGCAGATTCGTTCCCGAAACGTCCAAAGCTAAGTAAAATTTTGATATGTTTTCTATATTTCTTTATTCCTCTTCTCCAAACCCTTTTCAATACAAATTGCCACTGACAAGCTGGTAAATTTTGCTTTTAGGCTCTCTGATAGGAAAATTCTTAAAACGCAGTGACATTTTGGTGCTGATCATCTGATTTGTCCTCACTACACGTATATTGAAATGATATTCATATTTTTATTTTATAAAAACGAGGAGAGAAAATCCGAAATAATCTGGTATAATGAATCTATTCTTCAGTTCATCAAAGTTTCTTCCTCACTCGTCATGGGTCTCAACTAATTGGTATCGTTTTCTACTGGGCGTACTTCTGGTGCCAACTTTATCGGCAATCTTTCTTTCAAGGATACCTAGATACTGAGTGCATAATGTCAGTTCAGTAAAAAACACTTTCAAAGTCGAAAAAATGTATTGTGCTGCCCTGTCACAAGTCAATAAAGGCCTAACGACAATACATACTTCTTCGTTCTTGATAAATTACAGTCCCTCGCCTATTCCTGATGGTAAAGACATCACAAAAAACTCATACTCCTATGTAACGTGATTCTTCAAAATATGTCATCGTCATTTTCAGATAGACCTAAGATGACAGGCCCAATGAAAAAGTTATCATAGCCACCGCCACCTGCATTGTTTACCTTCAACGAAATTAATTTTGAATACGATTAATAGGCTCGTCTGTCGGTCCGGTCGTAACCTCATTTACATGGACCCTGCGGTATATGATTTTAATCCATCAACGGACCGTACGCACAGAGCAAGAGGGTTTTTTTTTTCATCAAAAATTCAGACCGGTCTTTCATCTGAGCTGGTCGACAAGAAGATTACTGTGAAATGATAATGTACCACCATTGGCGTAGTCACATCATAATCAATATTTGCAGAAATTTTAATATTGTTAGTCCTTGGATTCTAAACACTTCATTGCTCAATTATTGGTCTGCTACTAGACAGATGGCCGTGGGCCCACCATGCACTCATGGCGTCGAGTGAGGGTAGCCCCAGGTGATTCCAGCAAAGATTACTGAATTCTAGAAGATAGTTCACTTAGTGAAATCCGTTTGTCGGTACAGCCCAACATTGCATTTTTTGCTTTTCTATAAATCATTGCACCGCCAAACGGTTGCGGTCGGTTGACAGCTAATTAGATTGCGATTTCAAAGGCCCCGCCAGTCGTTAGCCGGCAGAATCCAGCGGTCGGCTAGGTTGCGGCGAGATCTCTTAGAAGTCGAAAAATGAACGAGTGAACTGTCTTATAGTTTATCTTCTGTAGTCTATGATTCCAGGCACCTCTGGTTAA